GCTGCCGTCGTGATGGTGACCTCGTCAGTCACAGGGGCTGCAGTAGTAGGAACAACCTCATCGGTCACAGCAGCTGTGCTGGCCGGTTGAGGGGTCGTGATAGTAGTAGTAGGCTCAACAGGAGCATCGATCCTAGTGGCAGTCGCAGTCTCAGTAGCGACCGGGGTGGTAGCATCAGAATCATCCTTGTCTCTTCCCGGAGCTTCCCCAGCGGCCGTGGTGATAGTCACCTCGCCAGTCACAGGAGCCGCAGTAGTGACAGCGACCTCATCGGTCACAGCGGGTGTACTGACCGGTAGAGGGGACGTCATAATAGTAGTAGGCTCAACAGAAGCACTGATCGTGGTAGCCACAGTCGCAGTCTCAGTAGCGATCGGGGTGGTAGCATCAGAATCATCCTTGTCTCTTCCCGGAGCTTCCCCAGCTGCCGTCGTGATGGTGACCTCGCCAGTCACAGGGGCTGCAGTAGTAGCAACAATCTCATCGGTCACAGCAGCTGTGCTGACCGGTTGAGGGGTCGTGATAGCAGTTGTAGGCTCGACAGGAGCATCGATCGTAGTAGTGCCAGCCGCAGTCTCAGTAGCGACCGGGGTGGTAGCATCAGAATCATCCTTGTCTCTACCGGGAGCTTTCCCAGCTGCCGTGCTGATGATCACTTCGCCAGTCACAGGAGCTGCAGTAGTGACAGCAACCTCATCGGTCACAGCAGCTGTGCTGACCGGGAAAGGGGACGTGATAGTAGTAGGCTCAACAGGAGCACCGATCGTAGTCGTGACAGTTGCAGCCTCCGTAGTGACCTTGGTGGTAGCATCAGAGTCATCCTTGTCTCTACCGGGAGCTTCCCCAGCTGCCGTGCTGATGGTCACTTCGCCAGTCACAGGAGGTGCAGTAGTGACAGCCACCTCATCGGTCATAACAGCTGTACTGGCCGCCACTGTGGCATCGACAGTAGCTTCAGAACCAGTCGTACTCGTTGCTTCGGGAGCTGCTGTCGTACCTTCTTCGCTTGTAGCGGCCTCAGTGACCTCATCCGTGACTGCAGCAGAGGATGTGGAACCTCGGAGAGCCTCAGTCGGTCCACTCGTGCCGCAGAAGCACGGGGCATCCGAGCCGAAGCAGGTGCTCGGCATCTTCCAATACTTACAATATGACCCAGGGTAAGTTGTGGCACACTCTGTGTCGCAGTCATTGGCGTTGCCCGTCACGGAATTGATGTCCTGGAAAGCACAGAGAGCGACGAAAACAGCGGAGAAAGTCCG